TCGTGTTCTGGGCTAGGCCCATAAACAGCGCTGCAGATGTTTGCCCAGACCTGTGGCGTTTCCACGATTGTTATTGCTTCGTATGTCTTTGTCAGCATTTCCTGTCATAGTTCAATGTTTGGTCAATTCTAAGTCACTTCGGTCCGATAAGCAAGTTTGTGAACTCTCTGGTCACCTTGCCTCCCTCTACCACAGTCCACTTTTGGTCATTTTGTCATGCCCATCGTGTGCAGGGATGCAGAAGGGAAGAGAAATAAATCCATCCATTTGCTTTGGGGACAGGAATTGCAGAAGAAACCCAAAACTATTCACTGATCTCTGGACACTCTGAGAATTTAAGTGACACTCTCTCTGCTCACCTTCTCCAAGCCCTTTTTTCATAGCCACAGATCACTCTGCTAATGAGCCTCAGATGTAACATCAAGTTGAGACTTTTTTTTGATTTTTAGAGAGAGGAAAAGGGAGAAAGAGAGAAAGAGGGAGAGAGAGAGAGAGAGAGAGAGAAACATCAATCTGTTGGTTCACATATTGATGCAGTCATTGGTTGCTTGTATGTGTCCTGACCAGAGATCGAACCCACACCCTTGGCACATCCTGACGACGCTCTAACCAACTGAGCTACCCAGCCAGGGCCAAGAATTTTTAATATATAAATATATTGTTTTTTTCAATTACAGTGTACATTCATTATTATTCTATACTAGAGGCCCGGTGCCCGGATTCATGCATCGGGGAGGAGGTCCCTCAGCCTGGCCTGCGCCCTCTCACAATCCAGGACCCTCCAGGGATGTCAACTGCCAGTTTAGGCTCAGTCCCAGACATCCCCCGAGGGATGTAGCAGTGCACCAAGCATCAGGCAGCCAGGGAGGAGCCTGAGCCGGGGCGGATGCCGAGCCACTTGTGCTCATCCTGGCCCGCTGCGCCTGCTGCCACTGCTCGGTAGCACTGCCGCAGTCTGGAGAGGCTCCTGCCGCCACAGCTACACTCGCCAGCCAGCCATGAGCCCGGCTTCTGGCTGAGTGACGCTCCCCCTGTGGGAGCACACTGACCACCAGGGGGCAGCTCCTGCATTGAGCGTTCCGGTTGTTCGGTTGTAATGGTTGCTTAGGCTTTTATATACATAGATTAACTTCAGATGTGCAATAAAGTGGTTAGAAAACCATGTGCTTTATAGAGTGGTCCCCCTGATGTTTCAAGTACCCACCATAGTTATTATGATATCAGTGACTATAGTGTGCCCTATGCTGTAATTTACATCTCTATGACTATTTGGTAACTACCAATTTGTACTTCACTTTTTTTTACCCAGTCCTCCAACCCTCTGAAAACTGTCAGTCTGTGTTGAGAATTTTCTTGTCACACTTGAGACACCCAAAAGGAGCTGGGTGCCGGTATTTAACCCTTTCACCTCCCCCATGACCCTAAGCCAGCACTACCTCACATGGAAGAAGGAGGAACAGTGGGGACGACCAAGAGAAAAATGCAGCTCTAGGTCAAAGCTTATTCCAATCCTACTCTGTGCCAAAGGCCAACTCAGAGAGAATGTGTGTGGAAGGTTTCCTGTGGAAAAGTCCAGAGAGAATGTGTTTGCCTCGTTCTTCCCTGTTTGGGAAGAGGGAGACTGTTGAAATACTGTGTGGTGAGGACGTGCCTGCACTTGGTCCCGGGTGTGCTGCAGCCAGTTGTGCCACCTCTTCCCCACGCCCTGTTCTGGGGGTGTCCTCACCGTGGCAGCTGGAATTAGGTTTCAGTGGGTATATCTCCATCACGAAAGTCAGCAAATCCCACAAATCAGGGTGTACTTTTTCTGAAGAGCAGGAGGGTACGCATTTCTCAGCACTTCAGTGACTTATCCGTGAAATATACCCGGTTAGTTAGTTGTGATTCTGCCCAGGGCCCAGCAGGGACTGCCCCAAGCTTTGGTTCCTTGGCAGGGGGTGGGCAAGGCTGTAGGGGAGAAACCAACCAAAGAGTCACAAGCTATTGCCCCTGGCAGACACTCCACAGGCAGAAAGGCTGGGGAGGGCCAAGGAAAGCTAGAGGGGAGGCTACCGATATCTAAAAGGTGAGAGTAGGAGAACATGAAAGCCTTTGACAAGCACAGAACCAGGACAAAAGGAAAGGGATGCAGAGAGAGGAAGGGGCTGAGGGTTCTGGAAGCTCCCTCCAGAAATGTCACATCAGGTCCCAGAGTTTGAGTCATCACTCCACAGCAGGGGTTCATTACAAATGTGATTTGAGGGAGCAGGAGGAGAGGGTAGAGGGGGGATAAATGGTGATGGAAGGGAACTTGACTTGGGGTAGTGAACACACAATACAATATACAGATGATGTACTATAGAATTGTACCCCTACAACCTATTAATTTTACTAACCCAATGTCACGCCAATAAATTAAATTTTTTAAAAATGTGATTTGATGGAAGCCACTTCATGTTAATGGATCTGCCGCCTCTTCCATATGCACCGACTTAAAGCAAATGTGCCTCATTCATCAACAAAATCACAAAACAGAGAGAAAGGTAAGGTGTCCCCCATGTCAACAAAATTCCTTGCTGATCATTTTTTACAACTGCATTTCATTCCATAGAGGCACCATCATTTAACCGATCCTCTGTTTTGATTATAAATCTTTTTCCAGTCTTTCCTTATTATAAATAATCTTGTAATGAACATCCTTGTAGCTACCTGGCAGCATCCTTAATTATTATTCATCACCGTTTTAGGACAAACTAGAAATGGAATGAGGGGGTGCATATCATTTTAAGGCTTTTGATAAATATTGTCAGATTAACCTCCAGAACGCTTGCACCCGGCTGCACTCCCACGAGCCACGGGTTCTAATCTTCTAAAAAGAGGATAGAAAACCAGCAGCACCGAGGGATTCGTGGCCAGCTGCCTCGCAGCCTGATGGTTGCCGGGTGGCTATTGATCGAGGCCAGGCACTCCGTGTCTGCCTGAGTATTTCCATTAGGAAAATGCAAAGATTGTAATTCTAGACTTTTAAAGTCAGTTTAGACCTTATCTGATGCAACGCCCTAATTTTACAGATGAGGAAATTCAGCCCCAAGGTTGCACAGCTAATTAACAACTTGCTGGAACGCCTGTGTTACAGAGAGCGGTTGTGGTGCAGTCCTCATACTGTTAGCTAACGCCTGCGGAGCACTTACTCCATGCTTCCTGTGGACTGGATCCCTCCCCAAGCCCAGGCTGCTGGGACCATTATACCCCCCCTTTTAAGTTACGGCGAGGAGGTGCTGAGAAGGGAAGTGACCAGGCAAAGGACACATGACAGATACTTTGAAATTTTCAGGTTCAAGTTTAAAAAAACAATGTCTAAAACCCAAATATAACCACAGATGATGAGCACACCCCTTATTTTTAATGGTGGAGAGGAAATTCAATCTCTAGGTCCTTCCAGGCCAGGCTGGTCCACACCCAATTTCTCGGCAGCACATGTGATGGGAATCCCGTCCCGGCGGTTATATATGTCTCCTTGATCTAGTTACGGTCGGACGTCCAAGCTTGTAGCTCTTCAGTGGCCCTGGAAATGACAGCAGCCCACCAATTGTACATTGTGAACGGCCACTCAATGACAGCTCTTCCTGGGGGTTTCCTGTCAGAAGAAAAAAGTGCTGGCTGCACCGGGGCCATTATTTGCCTAAAACAATGAAATCCCTCACAATAACGACGAGGGAAAAGCGGGACCTGCCAATCATCTCCAGATCTCTTTGGAACAAGCCAAGGCAGAACTTTAAAGCTCTTTCCTCCTTGTGTCTCCCAAGGTGGCAAAACACAACGAACCGCACTACCTGGGCAGAGGCAACCCTGACTCAGTTGTAGGGCCGGCGATCACTTCTGCAGGAAGGGAGCCCACTTACAATAAAAGCCCTTCGTTTCAACTTTCTTCCCCCTTCCCAACCCTACCTACACTTGAAATTCTGAAAGAGGATGTGATCATAAACAAGACAGCCACCGGCCGATTACAATCTTACAACAATATAAATTATTTTTGCCGGAAAGGAGCGCCCCGCCTCATGAATCATCTAACCACTATTCTTTGTTTGCTTTTGTGCAGCTCATTTTCTTAGTTCTATCAATTGTCTTTTTTTTTCCCCCTCCAGCTTGAGGAAAAACCTCACTTCGAGTTAATCCCCTGTCTCTGGTGCCAAAACCCGCCAGGAGCAAAGCCCACATAAGGTAGGTGCATCTTAGTGTGCTTAGCAGAAGGGAGCCGTGTGCTGTCGGGGGCTGGGGGCCAGGGGCCAGAGAGCCTGACACCCTTGATTTTCTCCAGCCACACGGCTTACTTGCCACGGAGTAGCTGCCAACTCACCCACTTCTGGTTGAAGCTCAGAAAGCATTTTGAAAAGGGATGTTATGAAAGCAAAATAGAGTTATCCTGGACAAACCAGCCAAATTGTCTCTACCTATCTGTGTGTTCTAGTGGGCTGTTTGGGCAGATCTTAGTGGTTCTGAATTAAACATTATTTTTTTGTGTCAGAGTACACGGTGCCAGCCATCAACATCCCTCGTTACAGGGAGCTGTGCCTGTAGATTACAGCTCCTGGATTCTCTGGCAGGTGAGGCTCTCAGGCCCAGTCCTGCCCAGGCTCTCCCCTTCACTCTTTATTTTATTTTATTTTATTGATCTCCCAGAGGAAGGGAGAGGGAGAGAGAGATAGAAACATCAATGATGAGAGAGAATCATTGATCAGCTGCCTCCTGCACACCCCACACTGGGGATCGAGCCCAAAACCTGGGCATGTGCCCTTGACGGGAATCGAACCATGGCTTCCTGGTTCATAGGTTGATGATGCTCTACCACTGAGCCACACCGGCTGGGCCCCTTCACTTTTTTTTTTTTACACAGAGCTCCGTTTCAGTCCCTGCCCATTTCCTCTCTCCTTGGTAATTTCAATAGGATTTCTCAAAGTTCTTGAACTTGGGTCAGCCATTGTTATACTTCTTGAAATTCTCAAAACTTTGAACAGAGTCGGACCGGCTGCGGAGACGATCGCTTCACTGGGGCAGTCTCCGCATATCACGGGGAGATAGACCTGCTGCCTTTGATTGGTCTTGGTCCTCAAACCTCCAGGAAGAAACAGGATCTCGATAAGCTCTATGAGCTGAAGTCCAAAGCTCAGCAGATTATGAACCAGTTTGGCCCCTCAGCCCCCTCATCAACGTCCAATTTCTCATCCATAAAACCGGAACCAGCCAGCACCCCTCCACAAGGCTCCATGGCCAATAGCACTACAGTGGTAAAGATACCAGGCACGCCTGGGTCTGGAGGGCGTCTCAGCCCTGAAAACGATCAGGTGTTGACCAAGAAGAAATTACAAGACTTAGTAAGAGAAGTGGATCCTAATGAACAATTGGAGGAAGATGTCGAGGAGGTGCTGCTGCAGATTGCTGATGATTTTATCGAGAGCGTAGTGACAGCAGCCTGCCAGCTTGCTCGGCATCGCAAGTCCAGCAGCCTGGAGGTGAAGGACGTCCAGCTGCACCTAGAGCGCCAGTGGAACATGTGGATCCCAGGATTTGGCTCTGAAGAAATCCGACCCTACAAAAAAGCTTGCACCACAGAGGCTCACAAACAGAGAATGGCATTGATCCGGAAAACAACCAAGAAATAACACATGGAAAGATCAGGGAATGGACAACATTGTATTTGGAGATACTTGAGCTGAGACCTCAGCCATCTCATCTTTGGATTTTTTTTTTAATGCTTTACAGAGAAGCATATATTTTTTATTAACAGTGCAGCAATATCTATAATGACTGAGAGGATCTGCCAAAAGAATAAAGCCTCCTGCCCCCACTTTGGCCCCTTTTCCCTGCCGTCTCAAAGAGGAGCAATTTATCTTCCAGAGAAGATTTTATTTGTGGTTTATTATATAAGTGATTGAATATGGGACAAAGCAGTATGGTCTTGTTTGGTGAGACAGTACTAGCAGGATTGGTAGAGGTTTTTGTTTCCTTCTCCTTCCTCTTCCCCTGTACTTTGTAATGTCAGTGTTTATATGAATATGACTTTCATTTGCTTTTCCAGAATAAAAAAGTTATAATTGAAAAAAAAAACAAAAAAAAAACTTTGAACAAATATTTAGAAACACCCCCTCAGAGCTCATTTGAGCCTCACCTATATTCTATACATGCACTGAATTCAAGACAGGTGATGAAAGTCTGACTTTTAAAAAGTGTAGAGCCTGGCAGGGTTGCTCAGCCGGTTAGGGCATTGTCCTGATACACCGAGGTTGCAGGTTCAATCTCCAGTCAAGACACATACAAGAATCAATCAATGAGCCTGGCCTGTGTGGCTCAGTGGTTGAGTGTCCACCTATGAACCAGGAGATCACACTTCGATTCTGGTCAGGGCACATGCCCAGGTTGAGGGCTTGATCCCCAGTAGGGGCTGTGCAGGAGGCAACCAATCAGTGATTCTCTTTCATCATTGATGTTTCT